AAGGATTTTAATAATCAAGTCGATAGGATGACCCGTTCTGTGGACACCGGTCAGCCTCTTTCCCCACTCACTCTTGTCATCACCTAGTGGGCTCATGAACCAAGCAGCCATGGTGGCGGGGATGGAGGTTATGCATGGGCTCAGCAACTCGGACTTCCGCTCATCAAGACCAACCTAGCTATGGCCACCACTGAGTGCCCTGTCTGCCAACTTAGAGACCAACACTGGGCCCCCGATATGGCACCATTCCCCAGGGTGATCAGCCAGCTACCTAGTGCAGGCTGATTACATTGGACCATTTCTGTTATGGAAGAGGCAGCATTTTGTTCTTATTGAGATAGGCATTACTCTGGACACAGATTAGCCTTCCCTGTACACAATGCTTCTGCCAAAACCACCATTTGTGAACTCACAGAATGCCTTATCCTCCATCATGGTATTCTGCACAGCATTGCTTCTTATCAAGAGACTCACTTCATAGCAAATGAATTGTAGTAATGGGCCCATGCTCATGGAATCCACCAGTCCTACGATCCTGATGCAGCTGGCTTGATAGAAAAGGGGAATGGCCTTTTGCAAACACAGTTACAGCACCAGTTAGGTGGAAGTACCTTGCAGGGCTGGGGGAAGGTACTCTAGTATATGCTCTGAATCAGTGTCCAATATGTGGTGCTGCTTCTCCCATACCCATGGTTCTCAGGTCCAGGAATCAAGGGGTGAAAATGGGAGTGACACCACTCACTATGCCTCAAGTGATCCACTAGCAAGATCTCTGCTTCCTGTCCCCAGGACATTATGGTCTGCTGGCCTAGAGGTCTTAGTTCCAAAGAGAGGAATTCTTCCACCAGGAGACACGATAATGATTCCATTGACACATCGGGATTCCTCACTCTCAAGCTACTCAGAAAGTGCAGAACCTTGGAGAGCGCCAATCTCAGCTTCCTCCTTCTTCCCTCACAGGGGTCAGGGGTCAGAATAAACGAGAGGCTAGTGAGGCCCAGAGATTGTGAGGGGGCAGCAAGCATAGAAGCAGCTGCCTGGAATGGGAGCCAGTGAGGCTACTGGGTGAGTCTGTCCACAGAGGCCCAGGGAGAAGGTGGTACAAGAAAGAAACCCCAGGCATGGGCAGGGGAGAAGAGGTAAAAAACAGGCACTGTGAGGGCCCGGCCTGGGCGCTGTGTGGGACTGTGTGTGTGAAGCCATCTCAGGACCAGGGCTTCTCCATTCACAGCTGATATGCACAGAGAGTGCCTACAACAACCCTGGATCAATGTGGACTTAACACTTGAGAGTTAAGCCTTGGGCACAGGGCACACGTGAGGCCCAGGTCCTGATGAACAGGAGAGGAAGCAGCTGCCATCTCACCTGACCCAGGGACACAGAGAGGTGTGTGGTGCTGTGTGTTCCCAGAATCAGGGTTCCTCTTTGGGCACGAGGCCCTGGGAGTGAGAAGGGAAGTTGACTTGTCCTTCCTTCCCCCTCTGCTCCCCTGACACAGACCCTCCCCTCTCAACATCCCTGGTTCTCTGCTCCTCCTTCTTCCCACAGACACTAGCCAGCACTCCAGCCTCACATATCACTCCACCCAGTACACAGTGCATACTGCATAGTGTAACTTATGGAGACAAACACAAATTGACATACATTCCTGGGAATCTGAGTTTGGTGACATGTCACTGAGGGAAGTGGCAGGGCCAGTGTACTTACAGCAACGGAGATTGGGACTCACAGAGCAGGAATATGATAGAGCATTAATATGATATATGACCCATGTGAAATGTCTATGAACTGATGTTGAATAAACATGCAGAGCCGCATGGCATAGTGACTCTGCCTTCTACACTTCCTTCCTTGTCCAGCAGAGGGCAGCAGAGCTACTCTACAGCCTGGAACCTCCCCAGGAGGCTGCTCACCGCCCAGAGCCCAGCAGGGTCTGTCTCTCACCAGCCTCACTCAGTTCACTGTCCTCCTCGCTCTCCAAGCTCCCCACACTGGACTCTCTCAGCCCCTCCATCCAGCCTGGCATCAACCCTCTGCAGGCTGGTCCCTCTGCAGGCAGCTCTTCCCTCCACGTACTTCATCCTTCATGGGGCAAACATCCACTCACACTTCAGGTCTCAACCAAAAGGTCACTTTCTCAGGGTGCTCTCGGTGATCCCCAGACGAGCTGAGACTTCATTACATGCTCTGAACACACCAGACACTTTCCCTTCATGGCCCTTCTCTCAATTACAATTAACTCCTTACTTCCATGATTTTTCTCTGAGTGCCTGTCTCCCTGTCACAAGGTAAACTCCGTGACCCCAGGGCCCACGTGTGTCCTCGTCTCTGTGGAGTTCACAGGGCCCACATCAGGGCCTGACACATCACAGATGCTCAGAAAATATTCACTAAATAGAGGACGGAAATCACACAACAGAAGCCTGTCATGCCTGTGTGACACCTGGGGGTCAGAGCACGTTCTGTGTAGACACGGGGCCACTGGCATCAGGATGGAAGGAGGCCAGCAATACTGTCTCTGGGATGGGCCTTTCCCCTTGTAGAGTCAGGAGGGAGGACAGGGGCCTCCTAACAGTGGGGGGTCAAATCCCTATTCACTCCCAGAAGATCACACCCCCTCACCCCTCTACCTTGTAAGTGACTTCACTCCTTGGAGGCCCTGAGCCAGCAACCTGTGTCCCTCCTCTTCTCACAGAGACCTGACCTGGGACAAACTCTGAATTCTCAACACCAGGTGGACTTACCACCAGGAGAGGAGGGAGCCCCACCTTGACCTCAAAAGAATCAGGGGACAACTCCCCGCCTACAGGGTCCCTAGTCTGTGGGGACACCTGATTGTGGTCCTATGAAGGCATCTCACCAGCTCAAGGCATCCTGAGGAATGAGAGGAACTTCCCACCCAGGATTGAACAGAAGAACCAGGATCTGTTTGCTTCCATCTCAGAGGTGCTGAGGGTCCCATAGGCGCCTCCCCTCTCCTAACAGTGGAACCTGGGGGATCCCCTGTCTGAATCTCCACGTGGAGCTGCTACAGCTCCTGGGCTCTGTGGGGAGGCCTAGAGCAGACAACGGACAGGGACACGGTTGACTTGATGCAAGACCCCAGTGCTGTGATGGAGGAAACAGGACTTTCTGGGGCCCAGCCCCCAGGGCACTGTCCTCTCCACAAAACTTCAAGAGACACCCTACCAAACTCACTCTTTAAATCTCCTGGACAGAAAGCTCATCCTGAGACAGCACATCCCCCAGGGGACAGTTCTTCTGACACTAGACCAGGAATCCTCTGGACAACATCTGTCCTCTCCCTGGGCTCTCCCTGCACTGAGGTGGAGTCTGGCAGCCTGGGATCCCCAAAGCACAGAACCCAGACTTACCAGCCTCTCAGCCTGGAGGTCAATGACCACATCTGCCCACAGCTCAGGATCGGCTCACACCTCTGGAGCCTGGTCAGCATCCCTGGTGCAGACCCTGACATTGGCCACTGGTCTCTTCATGCCCTCCAGGGGGCGACATTGGGACACACAGACAATTAACACCTGAAAGTGGCTTTGGCTAAGGAGGTGGAGAAGGAGCCTGATTTCCATCCCTCCCTTTAACAGACACTTCTGGGCCCCTCCTACATGCCTGCTCTGTCCTGCCCATTCCTTCTAGGGGCCTCAGAGTAGCCTGCCTTGTCAGGGGTCCCTGAGCATGTCCCCACCACCTGCCTGGCACCACCCATGGGGAAGGCAGGTGACCACAGGAAAGTCAGCCAAGCAGAGGACAGAGGCCTCCAGGATGGTCAGGGAGCACATGGACAGGCTCCGAGCCACAGCTCAGCCAACACACATGGAGATGGGGGTGGTCTCCTTGAAGCCTTCTCCTGAGGACCAAGGAGCCCACAGCCACCTGACCTCCCACCAACACCATCCTCTCACCTGGGATACTCAGGAAACCTCCCCGTTCACACCCAAGAACTTGCAGATTAAAATGACACCGGTACTGGGTCTCTGTCCCTGGAAGCAGAGGCCAGGCTGGTGACACTCAGAGATGGAGGGCGGGTACCCTCACCAGTCATCACTCAGCTTGCCCCTTTCTCACCCCCCGAGTCATCTCTGTGGCCTTCCTGTGGGGAGGAAATCCAACCTTCCCAGAGCATTTGAGGACACGGGGAAGACAGTGGTGCCAGGCTGGATTTCTGTGTCACAAACAAAAATAACTCCCTCAGTTTGGAGACCCTTGGGTCTCTGTGTGGTGCTGACAGACCCCAAGGCCAGGACACAGCAGAGGCCAATGCTGGGGTGGGTGGGTCATCCCTCTCAGGGTCAGGGGTCTCCATCAGCCTTGCTATTGAAAGTGTGCCCCCCAGGCTAGTGTGATCAGCATCACCTGAGAGCTTGTTAGATGCAGACTCTTGGGTCCACCTCACACCTGCCGGGGCAGAATCTGCATCTTAACAGAATCTTCTGACTCTGAACAAGAGAAGGGGAGAGGCTGCCCCACCCCACAAAATGGGGTCTCAGCCTGGCTGGGTATCCACAAACCTGGGCAGCTGCTAAAGTAGCGTTTCTAAGGTGTCCCCTAGGCATTCACAAATTTGTAGCTACAAAGTTCCACAGGTGATTGTGACTCAGAGCAGGAGTGATATCCCTGTGACAAGAGTTCCCGATACAGCCCCAGAACCCCGGCTCTGAAGGGAAAAGTCAAATGTGAAAGAGAAAGGGCTGCAGGGGACACTGACTGTGCACTCTGACCCAGAGTTGTGGGGACTGCCCAGGGCAGCAGTGCCCCAGGCTTGTGCTTGTCCAAACAAGGGTGTGTGTGTCTGTCTGTCTGAGTGTCTGTGTTTATGTGTGTGTATGGAGGGAATCACAGCTAAAGAGGGAGAGGCCTCCACTGTTGCCAGGGAAACAAAATGTAGACAGAAAGGGGAAGGAGAGGTCCAAGGAGGCATGAATGAGAGGAGGAGAGGGAGGGACCTGGGCAGAGACCCCGCCCCCAGTGCATGTGACCCTGCTAAGCACTCCTGCCCCTGGAGGAGGCTCAGTGCAGAGGGAGGAAGGACAGCAGAGCTGAAGCACCTGGACAGCGGCAGTTGTGATCACTTCTGGAGCCCAGGCTCTTCTCACGGAGGGAGGGACAGAGCAGGCAGCAGACACCATGGAGCCCCCCTCAGCCCCTGCACACAGAAGGCACAGCCCCTGGCAGGGTCTCCTGCTGGCAGGTAAGAGGGGACGATTCCCTGAGGGTGGGCAGTAGATGGAGGACAGAGACTGCTGGGGTCTCCTGGGGAGGACAGGGCTCTGAGAGAGGACAGAGGACTTTTGTTTGGACCTGAGAGTAGAGGACATGGGCTCAGAGTAGGATGGGTGGAGGGGGCTCAGCAACAGGAAAATTTTAGTGAACTGGAATTGGTGAGGGGTAGGAAACTCGTAACTGCAATATTTTTTTGAAGTTACATTTTGAAAATAAGATAACTATATCCAAGTGATACTTCAGAAAAAAAACATAACCAGGGGCACCAAACATGGTCATTACTAATAAACCTCAGAAATTGACAAACAAACACCAGGACGTGGTGGGCCCTGAGAACACTCATTCATTCATCCAAGGTGTTTGCAGCCTGTTCCAGGCACTGGAGGTACCACAAGATCACACAAGACCCTGCCCTCAGGAGCTCACATTCTATGGGGAGAAAGACAGACAATCAAAGAAATCTGAATGTGATGTCAGAGACAGACAAGTGCCATGAAGGGAACAGAGCAGGGAAAGGTCAGACAGTAAAGACTGAGGGTCTTTAGAGGGGAGGTCAGGGAAGGCATCTCCCAAGGATGCCCCTGAGAGTGAGCAGGGCTCTGAGGGCAGTGAGAGAGTGAGCCGGGCAGACACCTGGGAAGAGTGTTGGGAACAGAGGAAATCACAAGTTCAGAGGGGCTGAAGTAATGGTGGTCATGATGCTGACCTTGACCAGTAGGAGACACACACACACAAATACACACACACACACATTCCAAGTCTAGGAGATGAAGAGACCTGTTCAGGACCCAGGGCCTCATCTTTCCATCCCAGTACATAGGTCCAAATATTGATTGATCTCTCTCTCTTCCCTCCTAGTCTTACTCATAACCTTCTGGAACCCGCCCACCACTGCTCAACTCACTATTGAATCAGTGCCGCCCAATGGTGTCCAAGGGAAGGATGTTCTTCTGCTTGTCCACAATCTGACAGAGAATCTCATAGGCTATGGCTGGTTCAAAGCAGACAGAGTCGATCCCAATCAACAAATTGCAGCATATATGATAGACACACAAGAAATTACCCAAGGGCCTGTATACAGTGGTCGGGAGACAATATACCCAAATGGATCCCTGCTGTTCCAGAACGTCACCCAGGAGGACATAGGATACTACACCCTACAAGCCTGGACAAAAAATTTTCAAAGTCACGTAGGAACTGGACAGCTCCACGTATACCGTGAGTGATTCCTCTCTGACCTCTTGGGTTGGGTGGGGTGACACATACACAGGATTAACAGGCCTGGACTGTGCCTACATCCCCCTCTGCATTACGTTTCATGTTGAGGTTTGAGCATTTAGTGCAGGACACATACAATGGAGACAAACTTCATAAGATCGGAATTCCTTTCCCAGAATCCAGGTCTTGCAGACATTCCCTGCAGAGAGAAGAATCAATCTGATGAGAGTAACTCAGCAGACGGAGATCAGTCTCTGTCCAGCCCCCTGGGCTCCTCCCCGTGAACATGACCATGAGGAAACCTCTGCACAGCGCCGTCAGGGCCTAGCCTGAGGGGTCCCCTGGGATCCTCACAGGGACGCTATATCTGGGAAGCCCCTGCCCAGACCCCTGTCTCAGGGCTCCTGACTCCAGTGACCTTGGGCAGCCAGTGCCAGGGTTAGATTTTGGCGACCTGGACAGGGTTGACTGGGAACAATGATTTCCTGGCTGCCCGAATCCCAAGGCTCCTGAGCTGGTCACAGCCAGGGCCCAGCCCAAAGAGCCACAGCTGGGCAGGGGCAGAGCCTGATCCTTCACCTGAGACTTGGCGTGGAGAGCGCAGATGGACAAGGTCCCCAGGCCATTAGCCGACTTCCCTGGGGGCATAGAGGACTCCAGAGGGTGGTCACCATCCACAGAGAGGAACAGAGGACAGAAGATGCTCCTGGCAGCTCCTCATCCACCAGGGACCAGGCACAGGGAGGTGTCTCTCTAGAATGCCATTTATTTGGGCAGCTCCTCAGTACTAAGCTTTAGGGCAAGTATTTGGGGATGTTTTAAGGATAATTCACAGGCGACATATTAATCCAGAAACCATTTACCTGATTTTATTTGGGGGAAACGGAGGCACCGGGAGATACAGTCATTGAATCAGGGTCACATAGGCAATGAGTGGCAGCTTAGAGTCATGGCAAGATCTTAGTGAAGCCACAACCCCGATCTCTCCACCACACTGGGGACCTTATGGATCAGATCAAACAGCTTCTTCTTAGAGATCCACAGCTCAAGGTAGATTTTCTGATCTGGAGAGTGACAGCAAATGGAGATTTGACTTGTTTTTACTCAAGAACCAAATTACCTGCATCAACAATCAGAGTCAATGCAGGGAAAATCCAGGCCGCCCCCTCAGGTGGCTGATCCACATCTCCCTGCACTAGACTTGAAATCACTTTGTTTCCTGATGTGTTGGTGTCATTCCCACTGGAGTATAAAGGGAAGGACTTTGCTTTCTCATTCCCCACTCTACCCTTGCAACCAGCACAGGACCCAAAACTCAATTGCTCTTTCAAGAAGGAGGGAAGGAATGAATGGTAAATGAATGAATGATCCCTAACCTCTTCACAGACTGGAACCTGGGTTCAGAATCCTAGTTTATGACCACACTTGTTCTCTGTCTCTCCAGGGGCTGAGACCCATGTTCCATCCCTCTCACCACCAGCCCCTAATGCCACTCCGAGAAAAGAGTATCATGACTGTGGGGCTGCTCAGAAAATAGAAGTTTTTAAGGCCGTTCTAGCCCTGTCCCTGGGAGAGCCGTGGGCTCTTGGTGCCTAAGGTCTTTGATGTCACTGGTAACCCCCACTGCTCTGACCTTGGATGTTTCTGGCTCTCTTTGCACATTCCGTGTCCCTCATCATCCTCCCGCTTCATTCCAGCTGGGACTGACCCTATTCTGCACAGCTTCTTCCACTCTTAAGCCTCCCGGAATTCTCCCACTAACACCTGTAGCCAGTCCCACCCTCCTGGCAATAGTCAAGACAGAGAAATAAGTGGGAGCAGCAGCCCCTTGAGGCTCCATCATGAGCTAGTTACCCCAAGTCACCAGGAGAATGGGCTTCCACTGTGCCACCATCCAGGGCTCTTTCCCTCCACAATGTCAACAAGTGGAATATGCCATGGGACAGGGACATGATTCTCTACATGATTCAACCAGGAAGTCAAAGGCAGAAGGACAGGTCTGCAGACCTCAAAAGCTCACAGGCTCATTTCACCCCTTTGACTCCTGACTCAATTCCTCATCCTGGTGAGGCTCCCATTAATCTAGCGGTTCCTGAGACCTTCCCAAGGTGGGGCTGGCCAGATCCTGCACTGTCCTACTATTTCACACACATAAGACTCATAATGACACCTTTACCACAGGGTAGGATGCTCACAGATGGTGAGATCCACCAGCCTCTGTCCTTTCACTTAGACACTGCCCAATTTGGATAAATTTGATCAAACTTATGTTTCTGGAGGTTGAAAGAGAGCCACATGCAAGCTTTGGACCTTCTTCCCATTTGACTGACTGACCATATAAATTGGTGACAGAGACCGCTTTCCTAAATATACTAACATAACACATATCATTTCAACTAATTTGGTAGCATTCCTCCCTTTATATAACAGAGACACGTCAGACTTGCCACCTAATCAATTCTGTCCTCATAACAGGACTCACATGTCTCTCTCTACCCAGGGGGCCACTGATTTCAAACCCACTGTAGCACCTTCCTTTGATGATAATGTGATCCTGGTTGCACTGCAGAACTTGGTCTACGACCTTTAGTGCTCTCTAGAGAGATATTCCTCCAGAAACTGGTGTTACATCTTTGGGGCATTAATATTAATTTTCAATATGGAAACAATTTAACTTCTCCTCAGATTTCTGTCTCATAATTTTATTTAAAAATGGTCCATGAGGGCTAGATTCCACCCCCCCACACACACTCTTTCTACTGATCACTCTTCTACATTTGAAAACATCGACTTGTATTTCAAGAAAGATCAATATGGTCCTCACTGCCCTCTGCAGTGGGAGAAGAGACTTTAAAGACCAAGGGCAGAGCACATGGTTCTGCTGCCAAAGCCAGCCAGCCCCCGCCTGTCCCCCTCATTCTTTTCTGGATCATTTCTAGTCTTAACTCTGCTCTATCCTTTATGGAGTCACTGTCTCATGCCAATCACCACGGAACACCTGGGCAGACCTGCCCCACTTCATGGCCCTGCAGCCTGAGTACTGAACTGACCTCTGGGCTTGCTCCTGATCTCCCAGTATAGTATTTCTGCTGAAATACCCAGTTCCAGGCTATACTGCTCAGTCTTCTCTGGGTTTAAGAACTATAGGAAGGCCCATCATTACCCATCTCTAGGATAACCCTGGAAAGTAAGGCCTCAGGGAAAACACATCTACACTAGATGAGGTAGGTCTGTGTAATAGAAAAGGCCTCAGCACACACACTTTCCAGGTGAGGACCCCAAGGTTGGTCAGACAGTTAGCTGGTCAGTGAAGAACAAGGAGAAGCACTGGGTGGTCTCTGACTCCCGGTCTTGTGTCTTTCATGACCAACCCTGATGCTTATTTGACTTGGGAAAGTCTGTGCTTTCTCCCAGACGTAGAGCAGGTGGCCTTAAATTCTCTGAGTGCTCAGATCCTTATGCATTTGCCTTGGGATACACAGACCTGCCTTATTCTTTTAAGGACTTGGGTTGGCTGAGAGGTGAGAGAAGCCAACTCTGAATGAAGAGGCCTTTAGAGGAATCAAAGGTCCCACACAAGGCAATATTCTCTCTATCTACACAGCGGAGTTAACCAAACCCAACGTCACATGCAACAAGTCCAGCCCCGTGGAGCATGAGGACCGTGTAGTGTTAACATGTGAACCTGAGACTCAGGACACCACCTACCTGTGGCTGAACAACAATCAGAGCCTCCTGGACAGCACCTGGCTGGAGCTGTCCCCGGACAACAGGACTCTCACTTTACTCCGTGTCACAAGGAATGACACAGGACCCTATGAATGTGAAACCCGGAACCCAGTGAGTGCCCGTCGCAGTGACCCATTCTACCTCAATGTTCTCTGTGAGTAACTTCTGTCCCTACCTGGCCCAGGGTGTCTGCCCAAATCCACACTACCAGAGGCCAGGCCACATCCATCCCTCTCAGATTCAAGTACACAGACCCTCAGTCCTGGACACCAGGCTGGCCATGACTTCCTGTCTCAGGCAAATCTGGGCAGGCCCAGCCTTGAGCCAAGACTAGGAGGGGACGGGCTGCTGCTGTCTTGAGAGGCTCGGGGTCAATAATCTGTGATGGGACAAACAGGTTAATGTCTCAGACTCAGGATGAGTGAACACAGAGGGGTCATGGTTGGGAGTTTTTAAAGCAAGGTTGGGACCTGGCTCAGAAGGATACTGTCGCCCTAGTATAGACCAGGAGCTTCCCTTTCCCTCTGATTACATCATGTGTGGCTTGATTCTGTTTTCTCCAGATGGCCCGGATGCCCCCACCATTTCCCCCTCAGACTCCTATTACCGTCCAGGAGCAAACCTCAGCCTCTCCTGCCACGCGGCCTCTAACCCGCCTGCACAGTATTCTTGGCTTATTAATGGGAGGCCCCAGCAATCCACACAGGAGCTCTTTATCCCCAACATCACT